TGCCATCCCTCCCCACTTTAATATCCCACACTAGTTCAAATCACGTCAAAAAAACAACAACATCAAAACATGCACAGAAGCGTGTTCATATCTTTCATGTTACGGTTGAAACTTAGAACCTCATTTTGAGCGAACGTTACAAACACGAGACAAAATAATATTTTCGAAAATAAATCGCAATCAGCAAGGTTTCATTGATTCCTGTTAGATTTAACCGGTACCAAACCGCGGCAGGCAGCTAAGAACAGCGACATATTTGCCACGGTTAGCACCAGTGGCGGTGATATATTTGGTAGACATGATGGTTTGTTAGATTTGACCGGTTCCGGCCGACAGTCGGCGCTTTCGTATACTAGTAGTACTACAGATGCTCACGAGTTACAGAATGGTGAGAGTGTTTCTCAGATCCAGGTCGTGCCGTCATGTGTTTGTTTAGATATCAGTGTGAATAGTACATTACCTAACGTAGATTGTGTACACCGTTTCGGGACAATTTCTATGCGCCCCTCTTACCAGATGTGGACGACGCCTGCGACACTTAATACACGCCGAAAATCAACAGACAAAACCACTTTCACACACAAGGGGTGTCCATACGCTCTCAAAACGCATCATTTTCACGCTTCCATCTGTGCCATGTGGAAGCCAAGTTCTTTGCTGTTAGATCAAGGAAACCTGGCGGTGTCAGGCCTGGTGAGCTGGCTTCCGCCATTGTTTACAAGCTGTCAAGCTCAGCTGTACTAAGTGGACACTAAATGGTGCTTGATGGATGCTTCACTTCTAGCACCTTTGACCTGGTCAGAGCCTGTCCTCCTACTTAGCACCTTGACGTTTCTGGGACAGGCCTAGGTTGCAAGACTCCTCTGGGAGGACTGGCTAGACTAAGGAATGTGGTACGAGCTCGATACTCACAGTTCCTCTAGACTTTTCCTCTCTTCTCTTCCCTCTTTTTCATGACCTGCGTTCCGATTGGATAAGCGATATCGAGCCGGCAGCGCGATAGAATTTCTTTATCAGCGAAGAGGCACATTTTCGCTGCTTTCTACGTTTTTTTCTACGACTACTAAGCAACATCCTATCAAAAAAGGGTGATTAGACTCTAAAAGAATTTTCGGGACAATTTCTATGCGCCCTTTTTGATGTTCGAGCCAGATAAAAATAACCCGCGGTACCCGGAAGTCAGCGTACCGAGCTGGATTTCCATGGGTCCCGTCTACCCCGACGCGAGACACAACTGCGATGATATTTCTTTCCTCGATACCTGACACCCCTCTTACCAGATGTGGACGACGCCTGCGACACTTAATACACGCCGAAAATCAGAAGACAAAACCACTTTCACACACAAGGGGTGTCCATACGCTCTCAAAACGCATAATTTTCACGCACTAAAACACACATACTAAAAAACCAAAACAACGTGCACCATCTACAGCCCAACAGCAAAACGTATACCAAGTCCCAGACATATCCGTCCACCCAAACGCGAGAAACGACTGCGAACGTAATTTTCGTCTTCCCTCACAAAACCTCCGCGCTCGGGATATACATCCCTACCCGGAGGTAATAAAGACATGGTGACTTCCCATACATTGTAGCTGAAAGTTAAATATGAGCAGACAGTTTGGCCAAAGATCAGGATTCTCTGTCACCATGGAAACCAGTCATCACAGCCCCATCACCATGGTAACTAAGAGTTCTTAGCCTGTCAATAATTGGGCAATATTAGTACATATACATATTAAATCAACATAATTAAGATGTTCCCAAGTTTCCTGACTTAGAGGTGTTGGACATCAAGCTTCTAGAGTCCTAGCCTCCGTAGCAGGCTTATAGAACTGGGGGTTTGGTGGTCTTCAGCTGTTTTCTGATTAGCCTCCGTAGCAGGCTTATAGAACTGGGGGTTTGGTGGTCTTCGGCTGT